TGAAATGTGTCAAACATACACATACGCCAAGACAATCATTACTTAGTATAAAACAAATAAAAGATAACTGATATACAAGCATAATAAATAAAAATACAAAATTTGCTAAAATATATATATACACATATATATATATATTGTATATACACGTACATACATACATATATGAATAACACAGATTCACAGAAAAGGCATCCTAATCAAGGACCTGTAAGTTATCCATACAACAAATTTAGAGCACGGGGAATAAAGGAGAGTTCATGACGTTTGGTTTTACTCCTGGGTACAACAAATGTCTTGTGCCGCCGAAGAGAATAAGTAGGTGTTGGAGCCATAGGCAGGAAACAATGCAATGGTGATGAACTGTCCTTGAGTATTTTAGTAAGCGTACGTATGGTGGCTTCCTCACGCCTCTCACTCAGTGTTGGGAGAGTTGAAGTCGGAATGCCTATTAACCGACAGCATCGCTTTTGGATCCTCTCTAACTCCTCAGAGAGACCTTTAGGTAGACCACCCCATACTGGACTAGCATATTCGAGAACTGGCCGTATAAAAGTCAAATATACTTGTACCAAAACATCACAAGGAAGACCCGCTTTTTTTGCAGCGCAAAGATAGTATATTCTGGGGCGCACCTTCGAAATAATGTACTTAATGTGGGCATCCCATGACAAGTCAGAGGATATTTGAACTCCAAGCAATTTAAAGGTGGAAACTCTACTAATTGCATGTCCTGAGATAACAGGAGAGGGAGGGGAGGGAATGTTGTCCTCTCTCCTGGCACTAATTACCATGTCCACAGTCTTAACTCCATTCATTGCCAGTGTAAATTTGATTTAAACTTGATTTGTAACATAAATAATTTAAACCTATGCCAACACAGGAGAATACATCAACATATTTCTGAATATGCGATTTATTGTACATCGCGATTTCAAAATAAAATTTCCGACTTTGCATGTGGCCAAATATTAAAATGAAATGGATTTAAACGTCGTTGAGTTGGCGCCCTCTGCAGGTATTTGTTATAATATAGGCATTACATTGTGTATTTAACAGTGTTGTTTAATAAAACCATGTACTTGGTTTTGATACTTTATTTGAGGCCAATTATTATTTCCTCATCGTTACTTTATATATAAATACAGTCATATTAAAGCCTGTTTTTCCCCTTAGTTCACATTTCAAAATACAACTGCATTGGTTTACTTTTTGTGATTAAAATTAAAAAAAACAATTTTTTAAGTATTAAAAAATTTGTCTCGTTCTAGTGAACCAAGTATCTGCATTTTGTCTCACCTTGTGAGCTAAGTGTATTGTCACTGTCAGTGTTGTGAAAATTTTAACCCCCCCACATTTTACAAAAAGTTTAACATTTTCACTTTATTTTGTGAAAATATTAAACATTTGTTTTTCAAATTGTCAAAAATATATAATTTTAATAACATTTGTTCACCATAATGCAACTTTTTTTTTTTCCAAATTTTCCAAAAAGATATTTTTATATTTTTAATGAATTTTTACCATAATTTTGACTTGTTAATTCTCAACCCCAATTTTTTTTTACAAAATTGTTTTCACCATCATTTTGTTAAAATATTAAAACATAAAATATTTAAAAAATTGTCCACAATTTGTTGAAAATAAATACACACACATACATATTGCTATGAAAACTGAACTCATTTGACTGATGTGCCTAAAAATCAAACTGTAGCTGTTAGTGTGAGCAAAGCCTTTGTGTTTTTCACTGACAATCACAATTATGAACGTGTCTGACAAAAAACACTGTTGAATTCTTTTTAGGTCCATTTTAACCCTATGAGTGCCAAACCTTCAGCAGCAGACCTGAGTCCCACTGCATTCTCCCAACCCTCCAATAAAGAGAAGTGAGTTCTTCTTCCAATCCATCTACTTCCTGTTCTCTGAAATAAAGCCTCTGGTGTGACCGGTATCTCTGCTCATAACAGCGGAGAGCCTGTTGGTCTGGACTCCAAGTACTTTGAGAGACGAGATGACAGCATCCCTCTCCGCGGCCTCCTACCCAGCATGCATCTAAATAGAGGCAAACCACAAAAACTACTTTTCCCTATTTATTCTTAATTTTAGACCTTCTTATTAAATGTTGAATATCTTTATCTACAGAAGTTCCTAAGCCTTTGAACACAGCTGGAGCAAAACCAACAGCGTCCGCAGCTTCTGCGTATTTCCCAGGATGACGAACAGCAGTTCAGATGCACTTCTATTCATCACTACGTTGAATGTGTGAGCGCCATTACTAAGATGGGAATTCATTGCAAAGTGTCCATGCAGATGATATTCTTGTTTAAAATGTATTCAATAATTTATTAAAACATTTATTTTAAATCCAGTTCTCAACGTGCTTACTATGGAAGCCCATTTTCACCACAGAATAAAAAATTAAAAAATAAATAAAAAAGGGGAAAAAAGGCAGAATTGTAAGATGTAAACTTGCAATTCTGAGAAAAAAATGGCAAGAAAAAATAATTGAATAGAAGTCAAATAGAAGTTTATACCTTGCTATTATGACTTAGAATTGCAAAAAAAAAAAAAAAGTCATTGTGGCGGGAATGGGCTTTTTTTCTCGCAATTCTGATTTCATCTGACCAGTCAGACTTTTGACTTGCAATTCTGAGAAATTGTGAGATATAACTTACATTTGTGAGGAAAAAAGTCAAAATTGTGAGATTAAAGTCAGTTACTTTTTATTTTTCATTCTGTGGTGGAAGCTAAACAGAATTGTGAAATATAAACTCAAAAAGTCAAAATTCTGAAATAGACATTTGTTTTTTCATCTTTATTCTGTGGTTTCCATAGTTTACAAAGAGATTCCTTGATTGCTTGAGACTTTGGCATTAGTGTGGGACTAATTTATCAATAATAATGGTGCTAAAGTTTGGTCCTTTAGGTCTCTGGTGCCTATAAAATGTCTTCTTGTCTTAAACTTGATCGTGCCATGCATGAACTGTCTCTGAACATGAACCTTTGCCAAACACTCAGAGAGCTGCCATTGTATATCCTCAAATAGTGCTATTCATATGATTGGCAATTTTAAGGTTAATATAAGGATTTGATATGGATGACAAAACGTTGAGACTGGTTTGCTGTGTAAAGCTGTATATAATTCATTGTGTGTACATTTATATTTTTCTATTTATGGTTTAACATAGTGAACTTTGTAATCTGTTTATCATGGATTGCAGTTTGGCTGCTTGTTCATCAGTAGCTCAATTTTAGGACAACCGTAAATAAAATAATGCAGTTTGAAAAAATTGTTCACCTTTTTACTGTGTAGCTTAAAGTATAAAAACAACCAACACGATCACACATATATCAAAATATTTAACTTTTATTGAAATGCATGTTTAGATACTTTAATATGTTTAGACATATTTACATTGTTCAGTCAAAAACAATACACCATGTTTAAAATTTATAATGAAGACGGCACAACCACACAACGTAAAAAAAAAAGCACACTGTATTCTAAAATGAAGGAAATATTTAACAGGAAATCATCTCATAAATATCCAAAGCACACAACTAATATTTCAGATTAACTCGCCTGTCTTGTGTCAATAATATATCCATACATTAGGTCAAATGTCGAACCTTAACATGAGCCATTCATCTGTCTTTATGAAAACAAAAAAAAAATAGAAAGGCCACTGGCAAATTTCACCTTGTTTGTCAAATGTCAGTTGGCATTTGCGAAGTGTTTTGCGTAAACGTACATATTTTTCATAAAAGAATGTTTCTACACAAGGCCGAAAGCGAATCCAGACAGAAGACTCGTCAGGCATTTCATTTTCACTACTGATCTAGAGTCAGCTCTACTGTTATTTTACACAAGACTGTTCAGTTGTGTAGATCTCGAGTCTCATGCGTCACTTAAATTCGCCAGTTTCCGTCAACAACACAATTTAAGCTGGGAAAAGTCACCATTCTAAGTGATAAAAAGAAAACAGGCTTCAGCTTAAACATGAGCAGAAAACGAAAAGGAACTTTGAAGCTGTACCACAATCATTCCACTGCGACGTTCGTTTGTCGAAGCCTGAAACCGAACTCAGTTAAGGCCATTCACGTCAAAGCATTAGAAATCCGTAAAAATTATCTGTCATGTTCCCAAACAAACTCGTGATCTCATGAATGCAGCACATTTATAGCAAAACCACTTCATCCAGTAAGGTCACTGGGCCTCAAAAACAACTAATTTTGACTTAAATTCTTATGATTATATGAACAACAATTTACATAAATTTGTTCAACTAGAATTCGTATGAATGGTTTTACAAACAATCTGCAGAAATTTGTTTAGCGCAAATTCTTACATATGGTTTTACGAAGTAATTTTCCAAACAATTCACACAACTGCAATTCATCCAAAATGCTTAAGAATGGTTTTATGAAAGATTTGCAACAATTTGTGTTGAACAAATTTATGCAAATAGTTGTAGGAAACAAATAACAATTTTTTCCATCTAAAATTCTTATGAATGGTTTTACGAACGAATTACTCAAATTCGTTCAACTCAAAACCTTGCAAGTAATTTTATGAACAATTCACACAAATGCGTTTAACTGAAATTCTTACGAGCGGCTTTACGAATGACTTGGAAGAATTTGTTCTCTGCAAATTCTTGCAAATAGTTCTAGGGAACAATTTCTACCATTTTTCAACAAATATTTTTACGAACAAGTTACATAAGTTTGTTCAATGCAAATTCTTGTGAATAGTTGATTCACACAATTTGTTCTGCTTGCGTTTCATGAATGAAGCCTGTTATTTGTACATTGTCGCTAGGCCCTTCTGAAAAGGGGAACACACACTGTGTTCAGAAACATTCCTGACTAGGTTAATGTCCCTGAGTGAACTATGGTAATGAAGAACTAGACAGCCAAGCAGAGCAATGTAAAAAGAAAGAAAAAAAAGGCAAAAAACAAGTAATAAAAAGAATAAATACAAGCCATTGCAATAGTGCCTTTGGACAGAACCATTGTTAAATATATGTTCTTCTATATACATTTCTTTTAAAAAGTGGTGCTCTATTGGCGATTCAGCAGGGACGCCCAGTCTTAACCATGGAGACTTTCCTTCCTGTCTGTAATTTCCATAAACCTTAATGAACAAGTTCAGGTGTATTTAAATGAAATTCTGCAGGAAGGTAGGGCTCTAAGCGCAAAACTGACCGTGCCTCCGATATAGCTTTATATTTCAATAAATGACAATAACCTCCATGCGCAGTTTCTTCCCCAATGCGTAATAGGGGGTGTGGCCAAAATGGCCACATCGAAACTCCCAATCACACGTTAGTGTCCTGTAGAAGGGGCTCTTTGGCCTCTCCGGGTGGGTGGGGACTGTGCGGGTGGCCATGGGGGGATGTGTGCTTCTTCCAGCTGCCCGCACGAGTGCCCATATGGGGGTGTTCGGGAATGAAAAGTGCCACCAGGAGCGCCAGCAGCACAGAACACGCACCGAAGAGGAACGGCGGTCCCGGGATTATTGCACTCTGTTAGAGGAACACATGAGGCGGGAAAACGGTTAACGCAAAGTCAAGAACTTTTCCCAAAACTGTCTACGGTGAAGGCCTATTTAGACAAATGTTCGTAACAAAACTATGCGCGATGACTTTTTAAAATGCATCTCTATAAACTCCTTCACCCTACTGCACTGTGATAATTCACTAATTTTTACATATGGAGGCTAGTTTGAGTTTCGAATTGCTTGGATACAGGTGATTCTGGAATTTTACCAACAATTTACACAAATTAGATCTGTTTGAATTTTTGCAAATATTAAAAAATATATATTTTAATTTATTATGCCTTCAATTATTTTACGCGCAATTTACAAATAGTTACCAAACAATTCTTTCAGGTATTCAAACATTTTTCCGAGAATAACAAAAGTTCTGCAATTTAACAATTTACACAAATTGGTTCAGCTCAGATTTTTACGAATGGTTATACAAACAATTAACAACAAACTCACTCTGCATGAATTGTTGCAAATAGTTTTATGACTTATTTAAATGTATTTCCCTTGACTTAATAATAGTCCTATGAACAACTTCCCCAAATTTTGTTGTGATCAAAATCTTGCAAATAGTTTTAACTATTTAAATTAATTTTGCTTTGACTTCTTAAGAAGTGTTTTACAAGCAATTTACAAATTGGTACCAAACAATTCTATTGAGTTCAATTCTATACAGTTCAATTTTATGAACAATTTACACAAATTCTGCTCGACTTGTGGAGGCTAGGTTGAGTTCTTTTGTTTTTATTGCATTTCATTCAGGTATCCAAACTTCTTTCAGAGAATTATGAAAACGATGCAATGGCACGAAAAGTATATTTTATACTTCAGTGTTGTTTAATAGCATTAGACTAGAATTTTAACAAAACATTAGTGTCTATTTGAAAAACTAATTTAACCATTAAAACAAACCTGAATTGACAGTAAACGGCAATCAACGTAGTTCAGTTATATTTAACGAAGTGCGGTGACTTACCTGTTGGTGGTAATCATGGTGATGCTGTATATCCGGTTCTTTCTCTGGAACTTGGTCCAACTCGACATGAAAGATGTAGAAGATGAAGCCATAGAGGGCCGGACCCAAACCGTTACACAGCCCGCGGATTCCAGTAACCATACCCTGACCCACGCCTGCAGAAACAAGAGCTTTAGCAGTTGGCCTTAAAGAACAACCCTGCATCTATAACTTCATAAAACTCAAGAAAACCTACCTTGTTGATCCGGATCGGCTGTGCGGGAAATCAGGGCACTAACAGCAGGGAAAGTGATACTAGACATGGCGGCAACGGCTCCAGCTGCCCACATCATCCTGGAGGTTGGGAGCAATGCATTGGACATTTCATTAGTAGATTGTTCATTTTTGGTTGAACTGTTGCTTTACGAGTGATGTAACAATTAATTACAAAGACATCATTTTTTTTTCATGATTTATTTTTTTCTTTATCAGTTTTATAAATTATAACCAAGGCTCTTGGACTTACCATGGCTCCGATCCGAACCCGTACCAGGCGAGCTGCAGAATCTGAAATCCCAATCCCAGCAAAATTGTGTTCTTGTTCCCGATGGAACGCATTAGTAAACTTAATACAACAGTCTGTAGACAGAAAAAAAGTCACATTTAACATCATCCACATCCTTTACTAGTATGTATCTAATGGCGCTTTTCCACTGCGTGGTACAACTCGGCTCGGCACGGCTCAGTGCGGCACGGTTTGCGTTTCCACTGCAGTTTAGTACCGCTTTAGAGTGGGCGGGACTATTCACATGTCGTTAGTTGCGCCGCCTATACTGCCGCGACTTCTGAAAAACGTTTTCATTCCGCATCGCCCCATCAAGCTCTCGCTGGATCCGCTCCTCTGCTATCAACGAGAGGAGCGTCTGTACTTCCTCAACAGACAACGAAACAGCCACTTTTTGGTTGTTAAAAAAAGTGCGCTCGTTCAAAACAGTTGCGTTTGATCCTTCGCTGGCTGTGCTGATTTAAGTCTAGCGGTTCTGTTGTTTTTTGTTTCGCAAGTTCAGTGACGCAGGTAGTGGCTATTCTCTCCGGCCAATCCGTGATCAGCAGAGTTTACACGTCACGTTTTGGTAACAGTGCGGTTCACTTGGAACCTCAACCGAGGTGGTACTAAAAAAAGTACCAGGTACTTTTCCCAGTGGAAACCCCCCAAAAGTGAACCGTACCGAGCCGTACCGTACCATGCAGTGGAAAAGCGCCATAACAGAAAAATACTGACCTGTGCAACAATAGACAGCAATCCTAGAACAGCAATGAAAGCTGCAACACTTTCAGGTGAAAATCCCATTATCTGGATAAGAGGATAAAACAATAAAACTAACGGAATTTTGATAAACCAGACTTGCCCCAGTAAACACAGTTAATTAAACAGCAAGTTAAATATTAACCACAGAGATAAATGAAATCCCTCCCTTGCTGACCTGTTGCAGATAGAGGAAGAAGCTGGAGTATTGCCCAGCCTCAGGCAGATACGACAGGAACACTGTTATACAGATGAGCAGAACCGTCGAGTCCTGACCCACCTTCCTCAAAGACTGTAGAGAAAAAGAGATTGATGCTTAGAACCAAACTGGGTGGGAATGTCATTTTTTTTAAACACTCTTCTTGATTTAAGAATAGTTCCATTGTAAATTTCATCAATTTTTTAAAAGGTAATGTGGATATTGGATATTTAATTGTGCAATAAAATATTACTCATATTTTTACATCCAACACATTTAACATTTAAAATTAATCTTTAACATTTTTAAGAATTTAAAATCACTGTAAAGGTAATCTATTAAAATGCCATGTATTTAAAACAGTGATGGCGCTACACTGGGGCTAGGTTTAATAGCCCCGGTTTAGCCCCATTTCTTTATGAAGTAACTCATCAATATCATTTATTTTCTTAGCACCCCCACATATTGGTCTAGCCCCCCCTTAGCACCGGTAGAGAAAAAATTCTGGCGCCGTGCCTGATTTAAAATGACTGGTTTTAGTTTTTAGTGTTTTAAATGTATTTCAAAATGGCTAGAATTTTAATACCAGTCATTTATTAGTTTATTTGTCAATAAAATATAAAAAAATAACAAATGATTACACTGGCTATTTTACTATAGACACATCTCTATTTGTACAAATATTGCACACAACACGTGCTAATGCAGTTTGAGATGAAAAAAATCAATTAATTATTATGCAATAAAATTCATAGAAAAATAATTAAACTTAACTAAACTATAAATAAATATTGTAATTTGTAAGTATATAAAATAATACAAAATTAAACAGCTAAAACTACAAAAAAAAATGCTAAATAGACATTTACACAAAAACGAATAAAAAATTACTACCATTAAAAACGTACTAAGATTAAAATTAAAATGAGAAATCGGAATATAAAAGCTCATTTTAAATATTAATAAATACTACAACAATATATAAATAATATTCAAATAGAACTGTTTTCAGGGCATTCAAGAGATACATTTCATGACAAATACATTCAGATATCCAAACTTTGCAAACTTGAACATTAAAATTTAAAACTAAATTAGACAATGAAAAAAATGCACACGTCACACATATATATATATATATATATATATATAAAATAAAACAGTTCTTTCTGGTCCTTGAATCTGATTGGCTGAGAGCCTTTTCCAGGAGCGCGATATTCATAATATTTTACATAATACAGTGAGCTTTTAATACAGTAATACAATAAGCTTTT